AATCTCTGAACGAGAGACTCGAATCTCTAAACGAGAGACTCAAATCTCTAAACGAGAGACTCGAATCTCTGAACGAGAGACTCGAATCTCTAAACGAGAGACTCAAATCTCTAAACGAGAGACTCGAATCGCTGAATTAACAATTTTATCGTTCAAGTCTCTCATACAGAGACTGTGACAGATCCATAAAAACACCTTGACTATAACTGAGAGACTGTGAAAGACGCTCTCAGAGACGCTGAAGAGAGACCGAAAATTTTTGTCTAGGGTTTTATACTCCTTTTATTTGAAAAACAAGTCTTCTTTCATTAAAAATTACAAATAAAAATAGCCTAATTATTCAAGCACGGAGATATTAAAATAATAGTCATTTAAATTTAAAGAATGTTTCTTAATTCAGTGAATTTCATTATTTCTACAGTCCTTTATACTAGAGACATGTCATTATTGATGTAAAAACATGAAAATTAAAGGAATGAACAGTAATGTAGTCTGGACTAATGCTATATTATACTAATACTAATAATACTAATCAATTTCACTGTTAATAGTAAAAAAGGGAGTTAAATACTTTTCTTTTTAAAAAAGAAAATTTTATCTTGTAAGTTTATGGAGTCTCATCTTTCACAATTTTTACTTTTTTTGTTTTCACTGTAAATTTAACGGCAATTTTCGATGATTTGCAAAATTATTTTTTTTTTGTAAACATATCTGTGCTTTGAGAATCTTTTATAAACAAAAAAGATAATAAGTTGTCAAAGTTGAATATCAACACACATCATTCCAGGTAGTAACTCAGACGTCTAAACGCCCTTCGATTTTGTATTATCAACTCGAAAATGTGAAATATTAATTACTTATCACTATCCTTTTAAAATAACTGTACCGATCACATTAAGTATTTAGTATGCAATAAAACTGTTCTATAAACCACCCTAATAAATTTATTGTCCACTGCAGAATAAAAGAGCAATTGTCCAATAATTTATATATTTACAAAATCGCCTCAGATTAATGTGTAGCTATACTCTATAGCCACAATGTATTAAATAAGTAATTGTTAGGCACTAAAAATTATGTTTATTTTTTTCAATGAAGATGAATCTTCCGGGTTAGTCAAAGAGAAATGGTATATTGAAAGATGACACGGTGAGAGGGGACCAAAATTTCTCTTACCCGAACTTAAGCATATAAAAGAAACACGAAACTTACCATTGACAGTTACAATTTCCCAACTGATCATGAAGGTAAAAACAATAATAAATATAACTATTTATTATAAGCTATTGTTACAGTTATGGCGCATAAGTGATCTATTTGTTTTCTTTCAGGTGCATCTGAATCTGCTGCTTGTGCTTATTGCCACCTCTGCGAATGGTAAGAATTCATTATCTGTATTCAAAAATTCATTTAAAATTGTTTGAGTAATGTACATTTAAGTCTATATTAGGCATGTGTCTAAACTTGATTATTTCTTAGGAATTAATTCGGGTTATATAAAAAGAAAGACAATCTGGGGTAATATTCCCATCATGCTTATTATAAGATTATAATTTTTTATTGACATTTAGTTGATAAAACTTATTGACAAAAGAATAATAATATATCGTGCACCAAATAAATTAAAATGTACATAGATTTTCACGGTAGATAGTATGATTTCATATTAAGTGGGTATTTATGTTATTATTTTTTGGTAAAATTCTTTATAATGAAAAATATTCCTATTAATCTAAAAGTAAAAGAAACATAGAATATGCATAAATCGATAGTATATAAATTGCAATTTATGGTATTTCTTAACCGTTTATTATTATTGATATATTTTTACAGCTGGCTTCAGCGGCTGGGCAGGAGGTGGAGGTGGAGGAGGCGGACATGGCGGAGGAGGAGGAGGAGATATATCCAAAATTGTTAAAATAATAATTCCCGAAGGAGGTGGCGGAGGTGGAGGTGGGCCATGGCAAGGAGGCGGCGGAGGTGGTGGGTGGCAAGGAGGTGGTGGAGGAGGATGGCAAGGAGGCGGCGGTGGTAAGTAGATAGTAACATATATATGCTTTAATTTTCTTAAACTAGGCATTGATAAAAATGCTATAAATTTAGGCAATAGATATACTTTTATTATATTGTATAAATAAAAATTAAATGTCATGTTAATAAGTGCAATAAATAAAGCAATTTGGCATCCACCACAATTACAGAAACTGAAATTTAACCTTTGAAATTTATAACTGTATTTGAGCCACCACTATAATTTTCCAGAGTTCAGTTGCTTAAATGAATGTTTACAGCTAAAAAATGAAATTAGCTTTTCTTCAAAACTATTTTATTTTATACGATATTTTAAAACCTAAATATGCAGTTCACTTTCATAGTTTACTTGAAACAGGTGGTGGAGATGCACCTGTTATAAAAATCGTTAAAGTGGAAGGAGGCGGTGGTGGCCACGGCGGTGGAGGCGGCGGCGGGCATGGAGGTGGTAAGACTCAATTTTAATTAACATTATTTAAAAATAATAGAAAACATATAACTAATGATTTCTCAGATTTTAACTTATTGTCTATTCGAAAGATTGTCAAAATTGTTAAAAATTAATCATTAAAAAAAAATTATTGGTCATTTAAAAAATAAGAACAGTTACATATTATTTTTGAACTTATCGTCAGTATTTTTAAGTGGCAAAAGGAGTCTAAAATAGACGAAAAGAAACTGCGTCTAACTATAGGAAAGTTATCAGTGAGACGAAATAATTTAACTTTACATAGCAAGAACTAATTCACTTTAAAGAATTAACGTTCACAACAATTTTAAACTATAAAACAAATAATTTTAATTTTTGACCGAAATGCATCGAATAGCCTAGCTAATAAGGGAAACCCTAACTTAAGCTTTAACAGTTTGAATTAGCAGTTCGAATTTAGATTAATAAAAATAAGTATTTATTAAGCGAGTTCGTGGTGTAAAGATTAAAAGTAATTGATTTAAATCTCTAACTGCTTTATTTAGCGTTTGCAGTGTTAAAGTTAAAAGTAGATAATTATTTTAAAGTGTAAACTATTTTACCGATTAGGATTTAAAGTTGATATTCAATATGTTTAAAGTGCTTAGTATCAATTCTTGTAATTGCGACCGAATTAAAATTATTTTTCTTGAATACTAATTACATACTCTGCTTTTCAAATCAACCAAATCCTGTAGCTCTCCCTTATCAAACTGAAACGTTTTAAAATATTTTTCGTAAATGATAAAAATCATTGATAAACAATTCTATTAAAGGAGGCGGCGACGACGCTCCCATCATTAAAATTGTTAAAGTCCAAGGTGGAGGTGGTCACGGAGGTGGTCATGGAGGTGGTCACGGAGGTGGTAAGTAAAGCAAAGCAAATTAGTTTTCAAGATTTAAGTTTTCAAAAATTCAACTGTTATTGATTATGAAACTTTTAAAAACCATTAAACAATCATTTAGTTCTTAAAACTTACTATAATAGAATGGTATAGTTCAGAATAAATCTTTCACAATAGAATTTTGAGAAAAAAACGAATCCTGAAGTGATTAAATAAATGCGAAATAACGATTAACAAGATAAGAAAAGGTATAAGACACAGATCTCGAGAAAACACAGTTTCAACTATGACATTTAATCATAAGCAAAACCACGTATGATTAACTTAATTACTAAAACCTGACTGCCTACATTTTTTAACTGAAATGGGAACAGAATGCATTTCAAACCAAATCACTCAGAAATGACTTGATCATTCAAGTCCAAATTAATGAATTATACAGATAGTTCTACATAATCACTATTTTTCACATACCTCACAGAAATGCATATGTATGTAAGCATGTATGTATGTGATGTTTCATAATCCCAATTACGCGAGATTCGCCCCGCACTTGACCAATTTAAATCGAACTAGTTCATACATTAATATAACGTGTGCACATAAGGTAAAGATTTATTATGACGGATGATCGATAAAACAAGTCCCTCGGAGGCAATTTTTCTTTTTATTCCGTCTGTTATTTGCAGTATTAAAACACAGTTTATAGAATACTATAAATTATATTATTAATAATGTGACATTTTTATTGCATCGTCAAACACATTTTACTTTACACACTGCAAAAAAAAGGTGAAATTAAACCTAAACCAATGCATTAAAGTTTTTATTAAGGTGTCATATCTCTCAATAAATATTACTGTTATATAGTAAAGTAATGACATCACTTTTTAAACATACTTTTTTTTCTATTCGCGCGTCTGTTTTATGCAAAATATTTACAAAGTGCAAGAGTAAGAAAGATCGTTGTTAAAAGTAAAAGTAAATGTGAAACTCTCCTAATTATTACTACTAGGTACAAGCATGTGTTTAAAATACATACAACTTCCGGTAACTTTCAATTGAAGTTAATAAACAAAGTCAACACTTTAATGTCATCTTGTGTGTAATGGATATGCATGAATAATAATTCGATAAGTTCAAGTTTTAATGAATGTCTTAACTGCTGTCAAAACATTACCAGGAAATACTGTTAATTGGAAGGATGAAACAGGAAACTATCACCTGGAGTAAATCGTTTTTCAGTTTTCTTTTCCATGTGATGACAAATGTTCTTATTGTGAAATAGACCTTATATCCTACTAATATTTTGACCTGGGACGGTTACCGTAACTTGTTACACTTATTTTATCATAAACTCTTTCAACAGGTGGAGGAGGTGCCCCTATAATCAAAATTGTTAAAGTCGAAGGAGGTGGAGGTGGTGGAGGACATGGACATGGAGGCGGCGGAGGGGGAGGAGGACATGGAAGTAAGTTTATTCAACTCTTTAATCCAATCGTTAACTATTAGAAATTATTATAATCAATAATAGTCCTGCTGCGAGGAACATCTCCCTCTGGTTGACATTTTATTATTATTGATCCTAGACAAAAATTTTCATTCTTTTTCCAGTCTCTCACGGCCTTTCAAAGTCTCTCAGTTATTGCCTAAGTGCTTTTATGGATCTCTCACAGTCTCTGTATGAGACACTCGAACGATAAAATTTTTAATTCAGAGATTAGAGTCTCTCACAGAGAGACTGAATTAATAAAACTGAAAAATTGAGACTCGTAGAAAGACTGGGATCTCTGAAATATGTTGAACTTAGAAAATTTTAACCATGTCTACCGAGACACCACTTACTGAGAGATTCTAGTCTCTCGTTCAGAGATTCGAGTCTCTCGTTCAGAGACTGGATACGAAATGAGGATCTCTCTATGAGCGACTCTAGTCTCTCGTTCAGAGATTCGAGTCTCTCGTTCAGAGACTGGATACGAAATGAGGATCTCTCTATAAGCGATTCGAGTCTCTCGTTCAGAAACGCTAAATAGTTTTTTTGACAGTCTCTCTCAGCGACACCAGAGAGACTCGATGAGAGACGGAGACTCGAGTCTCACTTTCAGAGACTCTGACAGACTGAACATTTTTATCTCGGGGACCTTGCCGATTTTACTCGTATGAGTTCTGTGTTGTACAAACGTTTTGTAGGATTTACAGTTTATCATTTTAAATGTTCAATATTGAGACATCCACTAAACTAGAGGAAAATCTACGCGTTTAGGTACATACTACATTTAGCCAAAGAACGAATTGCTTTTAGCATCAGTATAAAAATTAGTTCTTTTTATTAAAAATTGTATTTTGCTTTTCATTAATGTTTTGAATAATAGACTTGCTTCCAACAGAGCCGTTGTACAACTGAAATTGAATAATTAGGCGAAGGTGTGGAATAAATTTTTTCTACCTCGTTTATCTCTAAGTGCAACTTGCTTCCTTAAAAATCGCTCTAATCTAACCGAACTCTCAAAATCTTTTCAATAAAGCCAAACAGTCCTCACAGGCTTTAAAAATGAATTTATTGGAATTATATTACATTATTATTTATATGAAAAGATGTCTGAAGGTATTACGTATGTGTACGAATTTTTTTATACCACGCCGTATTTTCTAAAAGACCTGAAGATGAAATAACTCGTGAATTCTTGCATGTATTGCAAAAATGTTACAAATTAATAGAAATCAAAAATAAATACGTATTGGTAATTTATGTAATTATTCGCTTTAATAATCAAAACATAATGGTGTATTACGATATAACAGGTGGCGGTGACTTCAATGTCGTCAAGATAATTAAACTCCAAGGAGGAGGCGGAGGCGGAGGATGGCAAGGAGGAGGCGGAGGCGGAGGATGGCAAGGAGGTGGCGGAGGTGGTGGTGGTGGATGGCAAGGAGGTGGTGGTGGTGGTGGTGGATGGGACTAAATAAAAACATTCAAAACTTCAACTTCCTACTACCTGAACGGCACAAATGTGCTACATATAAACATATATTTTTGTATTGTTTTGTTATTTTACTGAATAAAGTTTGTTAAAATTATCCTCTTCTTTAATGTTTCATTGAAAACAAATAGTCTTATTAAACAAATAGGGATACCAATAAGTGTTTCAGCAGGTTATCAAGTGTTATTGTTTACTTACAAATGTTAGTGTTAACTTTCGTATGTGGTTATTTATTGGTGATGTAGTAAAGATACAGTAAAAGTCCAGAACTACTACCTCTACATTTATTAAGAACTGTTTCTGCTTCTAATATGTTTCTAAGTAGCCCTTTATTACTTTTATGCCTCCCTCTATCCTCCTACTCATTCTCATTCTTCTTCATATCTCGGTATTTTTCACATCCTCGTACAACACCATATCCTGAAATGTTTCTAATCTTTCCTTTTTTTGGAGCGTCCCCCGTTCACTTTTCATATCCACACATACGAGGTCTGTTCAAAAAGTATCGCGAATTTTGTATTTTTTCATCAAATTAATTATTTATTCATGAGTATCTATTTTGTCCCCTTCAAAGTCATCCCTACCATCGTGTACACTTGTGCCAACGTTTTTTTCACTCCTCGAAGCACTTCAAAGGATCATTTTTTGTGATCTTATTCAGTTCCTTCGATGTCATCTTTATTCTTCAATCGTAACGTAGCGTCGTCCTTTCATGGACTTCTTCAGTTTTGGGAACAAGAAAAAGTCACACGGGGCCAGATCTGCGGAATACGGTGGCTGAAGAATTATTAGTGTGTTGTTTTTCGGCAAAAATTCGCGCACAAGCAAGGATGTATGAGCAGGAGCGTTATCATGGTGTAAAAGCCAATTTTTATTATTTTACAAATCCAGGTATTTCTTGCTTCGGACAAATTGCGCATAACTTGCAGGTAATATTCCTTAAGGACCGTTCTACCCTGTGGCAAGAACTCATGATGTACCATGCCCCTGCAATCGAAGAAAACTGTAAGCAAACTATCACATTCGATCTAACTTGGAACGCTTTTTTCGATCTTGGCTCGTGCGGCAGATTCCATTGGGATGATTGAGCTTTGGTTTCCACGTCATAACCATAAACCCATGATTCGTTACATGTTATGACCCTCTGGAGCAAATTTTAGTCGTGGCGTCCAACATCTCCTCAGCAATGTTAATGCGATGCTGTTTTTGGTGATATTGAACAATTTTGGTATGAATTTCGCAGCGACCCGTCTCATGCCGAAATCATTGATAATAATCGAATGGCAGGAGTCAATCGATTATTTCAGGTCCCCAGCAACCTCTCTGACGGTGATTCGACGACTGGCCAATGCTATTTTCTTCACTTCATCAATGTTTTCGTCTGTTGTTGACATCCTGGGGCATCCGACACCCTTTTCGTGGTTCACGTCTTCTCGGTCCTCTAAGAACATTTTGTACCACCAATAAACTTTGCTTCGGTCCAGGGTAGCTTCACCATATGCCACAGTCAACATTCGGAATGCATCCGCACACTTAATTTTTTTTAATTCTTTTATATAAAATTTGAGACAGATTTTTTGATCCATTTTTTTGGAATAAACTAAAATCGAAGACGAGCCAAAGCAAGCAAAGCAGCTGTCAAAAATTAACTGAATATACAACATGGCCGTATAAGTAAAAGACATGAGTACCAACAAAAAAAACGAACATCGAATATATGTAATCCGCGGAAATTCAAAATTCGCGATACTTTTTGAACAGATCTCGTACACCTTTAATAAGGGGTAGTTCACAAAATGTGTCACTTAGAATTTCACTTTTTTCCTTTCTCTTCGTCATGCTAAGTTACACTTTCACTGACCACCTAACAAATATTAGTCCATCCCTTCCCCCTAAAAACAATCTTTTCTATGAAATATTAATCTGAAAATTCATTCTTGAATTTTTTTACCCACTACACGCTACCTCAAATTATTGAGGGAAATAAAAAATATTTCGTATTAAACTAACTCACTTCTTAAAAGTTGTCTAAATTGTATGTATGTTTAATCATAATATTTTCTAATGAAAAATAGCAATGAGAATGACTATCGTAATCAGAAACTTTAAGAACTGCTAAGTTAATAAAAACATTATTTGCGAATGTCACATTTCTTTAGACTCCCACTTTGCCTCTCCCATCTTTCTATATCTCGTCACGCTAAGCAATACCCCTTCCCCCCCCCCTTATTAGCCAACGTATTTTATGAACAACCGTTAATCGTTTTTGAAACGTATTTAAACAAGCAATCCCTGACTTTTTGATTTGCATGTTTTAAAAGTCCGCCTGTAGCCCATCTATACCTGGTGCCTTACTATTCTTTAAATTTTTTAATGTTATATCAAACTCTTCCCTCACTAATCCTATTCTAATTTATGTATCTTCACATTGTCGTCTAATACATTTCCTAATTCTAAATAGCCTAAACATTGTCTCCGTCTATCCGCTTGTTGCGAATAGAGTACAACAGAACTTTTTTAATCACTTTTTATTATTGAACACAACAAAACTACATTTAACACAATTAAAGGTTTATAATTTGGCTTGGATTTATAAAACATGCTTCTTTGTCTAAAGCTGGTAAGTGAGTGATCTCAATACATCGAATCAAAATGAATAAAATACATATACATATGAAGTTCGCGAAATTCGTTCATATCGGTTGTATACAAAACAAATCAAGCACAAAACAGTTCACCATTACCGCTTCCCCTCACTTCACTGTTAGCGTGAACACCGCTTTTTACTCATTTTCTAACAAACTGGCTCCTACCAGGGCCGGACTGGCTGGCTCATGACTGTACTTCCAAATATTATTTTCTCAAAAACGGTGGCCCACTAAATATTTCCTTACTTTTCTTGTTTTATAGTGCTCTATCACATCCTGCAAGTTTGCACTATTTTCATAAACATCCTCTAGTATATTTTCGTGTTGCTTTTATTAATCCTTCAATCTTGTTTGTTTTTTACAGGCACGTGGACCAAAGATGCAAACATGAAGCAGTATTGAAGGGAAAGGCCAGATTGGGCATAAATGCCTTTATATTTGGTTTACATGCACCCTCATATCAACTCGTCTAATTATTTATTGTTTAGTTTGGCGAATTGTGATGTGGTAAAACTAGTTACATTGTGAATTGTGTTGTTTAACTTCAGACGAATAGGTTAAATGTGTTTTTCTAGTTTTTGCGAATACGTATATTACCATTTTTACTTTCTAATACTAGAAGAAATCGAAAAGTTACGTATGGATGTCTTCTATTTCATTCAATAATATTTCTTACAATAATGTTGATTATTAGCTAATATTGTTTTACTTATATTGAGCAACTCATTTCTCATTTATTTAATCAGATAATCTAATAGGACTATACCGTATCCATGGATATACCTAATCAATATGTGTCTATCATCAATTTTTAGATCACGCTCGAACCCTTAAGTAACCCGAAAATAGGAACCAAAAAATCTAATAATTTCGTTAAAAGGAAATACATACAAGGCTCACTATCATCTTAAGAAAATGCCGAAGATTTTCACAGATTTGACAGAATCACTTTTAACCTTTTGTATTACGTGCATATATTTATTATATATATCATGAGTTTTCACCTCAAATGTCACTTAATTTTTAAATGTAGGTACACAGGTATTTTAAAGAATTGCGATCAAGCACAAGTTGAACTCGTTTAGATACTTGTAGTATGTGTACATTTGAGGTAAAAGGAACGGAATATGTATATTATTTATTGACACATATTTAGCTATTTTCATTAAAATTAACTGACGTTCATAATATAAACTTAATCTATACCTACAACCTATTACCGTGATAGACAACGCATAGCCTAAACCCTAAAACCTAGAGATTTAATTTTTGGAGAAAATATTCCTTCAGTAAGTACACCAAGAATGCAAAAATTCTATCTCCCAGGGGGATGAAAAGAAGTAGAGAAGTTTGTAAGGAGAAATATTAACTAATTAAGGGGAAAAACTGGTCAAAGGGACGAGATGTCCTTGTAAAACACTAAACAAGTATTTGCAGGTGGGGTGAACATGTAAATGGGCAGGGAGTAAAAGTGAAAATTGGAAATGTTAATTTATGGATGATGGGATCGTCGGAATGAAAGAGGAAAATGAGTGAGCAGGGTAGGGGTGGTCTTGAAGAAGAGTAAAAAGGTTATTTCTGGATAATAGACAAGCACAAGGGATAAGGGTGAAAAATGAAAATATTAAATGTTTAGCTGTGCTAGTGATACATGGAGAAAATGGAAAACGAAAATTTACCTAAATATTAAAACGATATTTACAATTTATCCCACTAGCCCGTTGCTTCGTAAGCGAAAACATTAATTTGGACCCGACTTTATAAAAATAAAATCCCAGCTGAAATAATTTTACTAGGTATTTTAGTTGACATTACAAATTTAATTGTAATAATTAAGAAATTTGAAATAATTTTTAAAGAAACATGTCAAAATTGAGATAATTAATAGTTACCTAATAAATTCTACTATTTATTATTTACAATCGAAAATTGTAATTTTTGCGTTGTCATAAAAACTTTTCTCCGTGTAGACCTTCAAAATCATGATAGTTTATAGGCTGGTATGACATTTTTTCATGCATGAAGGGCTAGTTAAAGACAAATTAGAAGTAGAAATAGGAGTTAAGAGGAGTGAAGGTTGTAAGATTATAATTTACACGGACGATTAAGGATGTAAGATATTTTAGTTTTACGGAAATACAAAGGTTAGCTCAGAATAAGAAAGGACGAAGATGTGAAGTCCGACCACTACAACTAGGACTGAAGATTCTATGATGATGATATTTTCATATATTATTGAATCCCCAGTTGCACCCATACTTTTTTATTGTTCGATTATGCACCTAATACCAGCATTCTACGAACAATATTAACAGCTATT